TCCCCACATGTCAGCAAAACGGTCAGATAAAACTTCTCCAACTGCCAGTCAGCGAAAACCATTATAACTAAGAGGAGGGATTTATTTATTTATCCAGCTCTTCTTCTTGTTGGGTAGTAGCTATTTTGGAAACCAATCTGTCACCTTGGGTTTTTGTTTTGTTTTTTTTTTGTTCTCATCAATTTGTCACTTTTTGTCATCGCCACCGGGATGAGAAAAGTGAGACTCGGACTACGAAGAGAGACGTGCAATTTAAGAAATAACCAAAACTAGGAATCCTTTTGATGGTTAAATCCCTTTTTTAATGGAAGCTCATTAGCTTTTCATTCTTTCATTAGATGCTGATGCTTGGCTGGAACATATTTAAAAAACAAAACAAAAAAAACTTAAGTAACCAAAGTTCAGCCTTTCAACGATTCCCTTAAAAGACAAAGCTTCTTTAACTAGCCTCCCAGTTTGAAAATAATAACCCCTTAACCTGGTAACTGGTATTGCTCCTCTTGGTGGAAATAACATCAGAACATTAAAAAAAAAATAGATTTTATATATAGAGAGAGAAACTTTGTCATTTTGTGTACACAGAGTGTATGCAAAACAAAATTACATTAAATCCGATCAATGTCAGAGCTGCAGATTTTTATTATTTTAGTAATTATCTATATACTTAAATTTATCTGAAAATGATATAAAATTTTCTTTCCTCATTAAAAACTGGTTTAACTTGAACTGCTTCTTTTCATATTTCAAAGTTGTTAATGGTTTAAACTTAAATAAAACAAAAAGTTCAATGCTTAGAGATGCCATCTGAGGAGTTCTGGACCGAGCTTATTTACAGACAAACAGGTTGGGTTTTTTGCCTTTAATTCTTCATGTTTGTATTTAGTGTTGATTACGCAATATTGATTTCATTTAATTTTGCATGAAATTATTATGCAGCTCTACATACCAGCTTGTTCTGAGTTATCATGAACCAAGTTACAGGCTAATTTTAACATAAGTATATCCACATTTAGTAACTCCATCACATACCCTGATTTATAACTAGAACAAAACCTCCAGCCTTATAGAATAAGACATTGAGGATGACTGCTAATCTGGCTGCAGCAGCCCTGGTATTAAACACAGGCTAGGGAAATCTGGCTGCTACACCTCTGGTACAGATAGTATAACCAGTTATTAGTTTATAACATATAAATTAGGATATACTTTCAATGAACATGCTTTTCAAATAAATTATCTGGTATATTCTTAAGGGTACAGTTAACAACTGCACCTGCTCTTTGTTTTCAGGGTTGTCCGATCTGCCTGTTTTTAACCCAAACAAAAAGTAAAATCCACCACCTCAATAAAATAACAGCATATATTCCTCTGAACGTTCTGGCAACCTATTAAACACCAAACGCAGAACCATGTTATTACTGCAAAGTTAGTTAGCATCTGACTGCAGTACAACTAAAGCTAACAACAATTAGCTTTGGATCATCTAGAACAACAGCAATCTACGTTTTAAGCCCCACATCAGCCTCCTCTTCTTTTCTGAATATTTTATAATATTTCTCTCAACAACATCTCAGGTCGGATGAGGAGCTGGGTTTGGAAGTGCTGGAAGTGACACCGGCTGGTTCCTGATAACAATCCGTCCATGCCTGGCTCACACAGGGACGGTGTGCGGGCCAGGCATGGCTCGGGGACGCCGTAGGTACAGCTGTTAGCAGCTGCTCACAGTAGTTTTTTACTGAAGCAACTCTTTCAATAGGGGGTTTTCAGTGATGTCACTGGCCAGCTTCCGGTCCGCCATCTTGGGTGGCATATTATCGTATATCATATATATCATGTCGCAAATGGATAAGTACGCCAGCACGCTAGAGCCACCAGATCATGGAACATATCTGAGGAAATGTTCCGTGATCGACCATATGGACCCCTATGCCCTCCACGGTGCCTTGTTTATAAAGAATAGATAGAAAAAAGATGTTAAAATCCCGAAAAGGATCTGAAATTTACCGGGACACATTAAATAGAGAAGCCAG